TTGTGCAACGTGTGCATCAAAGCAACTGGCAAACGGCTCCTCAAGAACCTGTAGGGGACAGAACTACAGCATAGCCCCCTCGTGGCCCCAGGGAGCTGGCAGTGACCGTCTCTGGCAGTGGAATCCAACCTCATGTGCTGAAAAGGGTGTATATGCACAGCTCCATACATGCTAAGGGTGTTTAGCCACTCTGAAAGTGATTTGTACTTTGCAGTAGGAGAGTAGCAGAGCACATTTCCAAGCTCTACGTGAGATACTACTTGCTGTGGTCCATTTAATAACACAGAACCAATCAATACTGTTTACTTGGAAATTAGCTGTTGTGACCTGAGTGCATCAGCTTAGTCCAGACTGCATTTCTTTTTTAGGGAATTAACCTCTCCCTGCCATGCTGGAGTAGCTTTCACCGATGCTGAACGGGATTGCTGCTAACAGTCATAGGACTACCGGCTTCATTTCTACCTCCAGGCAGTCCTCTGAGATGCACTCTGTCCTGTTTTCTTGTATGTCATCCCCAAGATTGAAGTTAACAGCCCTCTGCTTTGTAGCCTTGGGGAGTCCAGGATTTTCACAACATTTCCACGCAGCAAATCACAAAGCCGAGCCGCATCGACAACCAGAGAGGATGGCAGAAGCTGAATCCTTAGGACATTACAGATCTGGAGCAAATGGCTGAGAAAAGTCCAGGTGAGAGAACAAAGCATGGAGCACAGCAGCTGGTGAAGAAAAGGGGAAGAGAATTGCCATGGAAATCACATTTTTGGAAGATGTTCAGTTTTCAGTAGGATATAAATAATGCGAGACCATACGCGGTTATCCCTTCTCTCGTCCACCCAACACAACCAACACAGCCTGTTGGTGTCACAGGTCTTATGTTACAAGGGACAAGTTTAAACTCCAGTTCTTCAGACTGCTCTGAATAAGTGAATGCTTGCACATGCAAAGAGTTCTAGGAGAGCCGAGAGGTAACCTAGGCAATTCCAGGCTCATTCTTAGCATGTTTTCTTCTAGTTTTTGAGTACCGATAATGGAAAAATAATAATTAAAAACAAATCTTTCAACACTGCCCTTGTTCTATCTTGTTAGCATTAGTGATGTCAAAGATCGTTTAGCATGAGATATTCCTTGTTCCATGCTAAAGGTCAGCTTCAGGGTGTGCTAGTCAAACAGATACAGCAATTTAAGACAATACCAGTCCTTGACAATTCTAGTTTAACAAAGCAGCCAGCCAAGCTGGTAGAAGTAAACATATGTAACTGTTGCTGCAATTCTAAATTCCAGGCAATGTAAGTAGAGAGGACAGAACAGAGACAGAGGAGGCAGGAACTAGCTTTGCCTTCTGAGCCCCTGCTGCAGCAGGGCATACAAAGAGCAAGGAAAGAAGCCACACACAACCCTAATCTCTTCCACTCTTTCGGACATATCTTTTGGGATTTGTAAGAACTGCATGCAGTTCTTAAAGACTTTGCAAATATGTATACATACCTTCATAATACACACACACTTATACATACGTATGGTTCAATTTTGTACATACTCTGTTCAATTTTGTACTCCCTGCAGTTGGTATACAACAGGAATCATTCCAAATAGGGATGACAGGGAGAGAAAACCTCTTGTTGTTCATTACCCAAGCAGAAACCAGTCTTGAAGATATCTCAGGCAGAGATGGAACAAAATAATACAAGCTGAGGCACAAAAGCAACAGATATGCAAAGAGAGAGTCTGGTCATGCACTCACCATCGTGATGTTACAGAGAATGCTCCTTCCCACATGGGAGGGTTTTATCTTTGGTTCTGAGACCAGCCCTCTGAGATGGCAGTTTGCTTTTGAATTCAGATAAGCAGGTTTGGGCCTTGGTTGTCCCACAGGGCCACTGGATTGTTTGTCCTCTTTAAATTCTGGACTTGCTGTGTCATCCTGGCTTTCATCATCTGTTGGTTCATCTTCAAGTTTAGATTCAGAATGAGACACATCAGCAATCAGAGATTGTTTCTTAGTTTCTTCTGCAGGAGGCATCTCTTCTGGAAATAGATTTTGAAATCTATTACAGTTAGTAGTTCTATCCGAGAGCTGGATAAAATTCTTCTGAATCCCTTTTACCTGGAATTAAGGATTTTCAATCCCAGCTAGGCAGCAAGAGGCCTATACAGGTGTTTGATTTTAACCAATTAGTTTTTAATCAGCAACTACATTAAAGTCAAAGCTGAGTTATGCACTTATTTTATGCCACTTTACACTAGGAACGAGTAGGGAATAAAACAAGTGGGTATGACTTAATTAGGCAAGAAGACATTAAAAAGAGCATTGCTCTGTTTGGTTTCTTGAGAGTGACAGAGTACATCAAAGCTTAGTGGTATATGTCGTCTTACTGATTGAAAGGGAATTGAGATCATGGAAGCCTGATGCAAACAACGGTCATCCTGGGGCCTGGTATTATAAAGGTAAATGCAGTGCATGTACCCTGAAAAAAATTTACATCAATAGAGGCATCAAAATATTTCAGAGTTACTCTGTCCAGGAAAAAATTGACACCCAAACTCAATGTTAGAACAAGGCACAGCTAACCTTTACCTACACAATTCACATGGTCATTTTATTCTGCTTTTCAGACATTGGAAGTGAGCCGTGCCTATGCTACTTAGGTAGTTTGTACCATGATCATAGCTCCATAGAGCCTACACTCTTTAGTCACTGTCATTGCTTATCCACAGGAGTGCACTTTGGATGTATGGAGAAACAGCTAGCAACAAGCAGAGATTTCTCTGAGCATCACTTGTACACTAAAACTGAAAAATAGGCACAGAGAGTCAGAAAATGCATGGGTACACAAAGGCAGGGCAGGAAAGGTGATTAGAATAGAAGCCTCAGCTGTGGTGAATGCTTTCTGCTCCACTGCTGCCTGTGGGTCCAAAGGAATCATTTGGTTGTCTCCTGTAGGATCTGTTATAGAACTGGTTACCACAACTTTAAGTAAGAACCTGACTTGTTGAAGGCAGCTTTCATTCTTATTTTCCTTCCTACAGTTGTCCGTCAAAGGCAGAATTACTGCTTCTGATTGGAATCGACTTGTGATTGATTCCTTGGCTGCAATTGCTTATGTTCCAGGATTTGCAAAACCAGCCAAGCTTTATGCCCAGGAGCACATCAGCAAGCCTATTATTAGCCTAAACCAAAGCTTCTTAGTTACTGACATGTTAGAATTAAGAACGGTGATAGAGCAGAGATACAAAGTAATTAAATGAAAATGCACATCCTGCTTCTTTAAGAAACTGGTTTTTTGTTTGTTTGTTTTTTGTTGTTGTTGTTTTTTTTTTAAATCAGACTCAGCGTTAATAAGAGAAGCCCTTAACAACTCCCCTGATAAAATCCACTCCCTCCCCAAAATACGCAGAGATGAACTATAATGCAGGAGTTTGAAACCATGCCAAATTATTAGGAACCATTTCTTTTAAATAGAAATCTACAAAAGTTATTTGACTTTTATCTCTCTTAAATTGAATTAATTCTGAAGAAAAAAGAAGCAGCTAGCAGGAGTTAGTCTTATAAGCATTTTAACAGAAAAGTGTGATCATTTAATTTTCTGTAGGCCACCAAAAGTACAAAACCAACAAACAAAAACCACGCTTATTTTCCCTCTGTGATGAGAGGCATTAGGCTAAAAGTAGCTCACAGAATGCTTTACAGATGAAATTAATAGAGACAAAGCCTTTCTACAGATGCATGCATCCAATCAGCTGCAGAACTTACCTTCATTAAGTAAGAGCTGTAGCCAGATCACTGCTATGATCAGTGTTAGTACATATGGCAAAGAAAGGCAAAAGAAAACAGGCAAAGTCAGCTCAGTCACCAAAGGAACTGGAGGATACTTCATTGCTAGCTTCAGGTTAATCTAAGTTTAGAGCAGCTTGCTTGTTCTTTACTAACTACCTTTTTATAACTCTGATTGCATCACTGTGTTAATCACAAGAGGACCACTGGTATCCTCAGCACGGATTGCAAAAGGAACAGCCCTGTAAGGGCAGGGAGGGGGTGAAACGGATTAAGCACGGGATAAGGAGACCTGGGAAAAGATCTGCTTTGATTGTCACTGCTTCAGCTGGTAATTACAGGATAAGAATAAATTGGAAAGCCTTCAAGGCTGATGTTAAAATGGTAGTTAAAGGGATTCTTATATCTTCTAATACAGGGGTATAACCGAGCACTTCAATTGCTCTTTGAAACTGGTAGTGAAGCTAACTTCTGAGAAATCAGCAACACAGAATCAGTCTTGCAGAGATTTAGAACATAACTACTAGCTAGTTACAAAATGCTTATCCCAGGTGCTCTTGTCTGACATGGAGTACATACACTTCCCACCTTAACACAGATCCCATTTTTAACCTTCTCTGCATATTTCAATCTATTAGCGAATCCATCGGGAAAATATACTTTAACATTAATTGCCTTCCTGTTTCCCTTCACTCCAAGAAAGGCAAGCTAGCATGCTTCATAGGACACGCATCTCTGTATACATTGCCTCACAAAGGAGCCCAGCCGGAGCTGAGTTAGGAGCAGACAGGTGGCTTTGATAACTTGTTGCTCATCGCTTCTCCCCGAGCACCGAGACGTGCTGCTCTGTTAACTGCTGTGCAGCAGCAGAAGGTTTACGGGTCAAATTAAACTGCACATGATGGAAGATGCTAAAATTCCTTAATAAACAGTGATGAACAAAAGCTGAGCTCGAGGGCTCTCCAAATCATCAGGTGAGGACAAGCAAGCAGCGATCAGCGCTGTTCCATCCACCTGTGGGCTTTGCATGGCCACACCTCACATCGCTGCTTCTTTGGGACCTCGTTTTTAGCGCTACTGCAAACTACGACGCTACGGGGTCCTGCTGTGTCACTCTGCGGGGGGCTGCGGGCTCTGTAGCTCAGCTCGGTCCTCCTCTGAGAGAAGAGCAGAGCCCGGAACCCGAGCGCGGCCCGCGTTGCCGCCCGGAGCGGTGCGGACGCCCAAGATGGCGGCGGGGCGGGTGTTCCCCTTCCGCGACGCGCGCTGGGCCCCGGACCCGGTGCTGGCGCCGAGCGCGGCCGTGCGCAGCCCTCAGCCGGTGCCGCTGGTGATCGACAACGGCTCTTTCCAGACGCGGGCGGGTTGGGCCGCCGCCGACCCCTCGGTCCCCGCCGAGCCCCTGCTGCGGTTCCGCTCGCTGGCGGCGCGCAGCCGCGGGGCGCGCGGGGCGGCCGGCGCCGAGACGCAGGTGGGCAACGACCTGGGCAGCCCCGAGCCGCTGCGCTGGCTGCTCCGTTCGCCCTTCGACCGCAACGTGCCCGTGCAGCTGGAGCTGCAGGAGCTGCTTTTCGACCACGTCTTCCAGCGCCTGGGGGTCTCCTCGCAGGTACCAGCCGTCGGGGATCGCCTCCTGAGACGGAGATTAAACGTTTGACGACTTCATGCGGTTTCCTTAACTAGAAATGTGTTCGTTTTCCATTGAAAATGTTTTGTGTGCCTAGGTGGCCTGCTGAAGCCACATAATGCAAAAGCTTTACCTAGGGCTGGACTGAATGCAGTTTCCAGTCATGCTTTGCCTCCACCTTGTATAGATTTTGGTTAATTAGGTCTTTAACTGTGGGGGTTGGAAGGGACCTCTGGAGTCCAACCCATGTGGAAAGCAGGCTCTATACCGTGGCCCTGCTCCCTCATGGTGAAGTTCTTTCATGTGTTTGCATGGAGCTTCCCGTGTTCCACTTACTCAGTATACCTTTCAAATCCATTCTTCTTCACATTTTGGAGTTTATACCTTGGTTGAATTAGTAGGGGGAACCCACCTGTAGGCAAGTACTCTCCCGTTGAGCACTGGGTGTAACATAAGTGCTCAGTAGCCTGCACATAAAGCGTGTGCTCATTGCTGTTTGGAGGAGTTGAAGCTGATCTTTAAAAAGAGGAAAGGTATCTTTGGATTTTTCTGTCCATCTTACCTTGTTTTTCCTCCTTTTCTCTTGTCTCTTACAGGGTTGCGTTGATCATCCAATAGTTTTGACGGAAGCAGTGTGCAATCCTTTGTATTCAAGGCAAATGATGTCAGAGCTCCTCTTTGAATGCTATCAAGTTCCTAAAGTGTCCTATGGTGTGGATAGCTTGTACAGCTTTTACCACAACAGGAGGCAGAACTGGCCTTGCAGTGGGTTGGTAATATCTTCAGGCTATCAGTGTACGCATATTTTGCCGGTCCTAGAAGGGAGGTGAGTTCTTAGTGTCCTGATGCCTACTAGGTTCTTTTTGTCAGTGGTAAAAATACCTATTCCTCTGGCATTCAGCCTTACAGCTCCTGCAGTACAAATTCTTACTAGGTCCTAATTTATACTGAAGAGCAATATACTACTCCAGTTGAATTTTGAATTGAAGAATCAATGCTGTCCTGGTGTATATTTTATTTTTAGTTTCATACTTAAAAAGTAGGTGAGGATATCTGTCCTAAGTATGACCTGGCAACAAAAAAAAAAAAAGTGTTAGGTTTTAAAGTTGCTTTGGGAAAAAAAAAAAAGCACTCTGTGAGATTTCTACAGTCCTCCAGACTTTCATCATTCTGGTTATTTGGCTCCAGTGCTCAGGTTTTGTTTAGTTTTGCTTTGTTTTTTGTAATCCTTACTGCAGGAAGAGGCTTGATGACATCTGGCAAAGGCTTCCAATTGTAAGGCTCAGACCTAGCCAACTGGGAATCATACATAGGCCAGAGGGGCTACTTTTAGCTTCCCAGAATCATAGCTTCCCTTCTTAAAGTAGAACAATATCTTTTTGTTGCCATAGCTAAAATTATTTGCTTTCTTGTTTGTTAATTTGTTTGCTTTTTAAAACAGAGCCTTCCAGAATTGCATCTGCAAGTAATAATGCAGTGCTTAGGGCTGCTGTCTGCAAAAACCAAAAGATGTGTTAAGACTTTCAGGTTCTTAAAATATTTACTCATAAGTATCTCCCCGCTTGACCATGTTAAAATGGTAATGCTGAATAGAACAGGAGGTCTCTTTCACAGTGAACTGCTCTTCAGTTTCGGTTGTTTCTCTTGGACTTCCAGGTTGGATGCTAAAAACTGCAAGCGTATCAATCTTGGAGGCTGTCAGGCAGCTGTGTACCTGCAGCGCCTCCTCCAGCTGAAGTACCCCGGGCACTTTGCTGCCATCACTCTCAGTCGCATGGAGGAAATACTGCATGAGCACAGCTACATTGCGGAGGACTATACAGAAGGTAGAACCAGCTGTAACTTCTTGTACTGATCAGTAGTGCTCACTGAACCTTGGTTCTGCGCCCCTTTATCCCTTGATCAGGTTCTACTTGGATTCAGGTACAAACGCTCCACTGCTGTTTTATTTTTCTTATGAGGGTTCTGTAATCCATTACGTGTGAGAAGCTTATTAGCAGTTTGAGTTCTGCAGTTCATGAAACAAGATTGAATTTTAGAAGTCTGTTCCTTGTTAGTTCAGACTTCTTTGTGAGTGATAGATTTCTACAGATGTCAGAATGAATTTATTTTATTAGTAATTTTACTCTGTGCTTCCAACAGAAAGCTCAGATGGTTGGGATTGTTTCTGACCACGTTTCTCCTCTGTGGGTGTTTTTGCATATCTGTTTTAAGGTTTCCAAAATTGCTGAGGAGAGTTCTCATGACTTCTTTGTGAATTAATGAAGTTCTAAAATCTCCATGACAGTTTTCAACTAGTGGCCACAGAGCAGTGTTTTCTTCAATTTATCAAAGGCAAAAGAGCCTGCGGTGGTTTTAAACATGTGAGAGCTCTCAAATTGGAAAGAGAGAAGAGGCTGCATGCTTCCCACTTCCCAGTGCTTTGTTTGCTTCGTCCTGGAGAAGAGAGTGCTAAGAACCATTTGTGCTGAGTGTGACTTAAAGGCAGTTCTCTGAGGAGGCAGCTAAATAGCTCTTGGAGTGACTGCCAAGAAGTGGGCAGAATCCTGGGCTGGATTGTTGCCTGCTTTCTCCTAAGTCTGAACGTGGCTTGGAGCATGTACAGAGCGTGAATCATCCTGTTCAACCTGCCAAAATGGTTCTTTTACTTCTCAAATATTTAGAACTACAGAAGTGGCGCTCACCAGAGTACTATGAGAACAACGTGCATAAGATGCAGCTGCCCTTCTCTAACAAACTCCTGGGGAGCACTCTGACATCAGAAGAAAAGCAGGAGAGGCGGCAGCAGCAGTTACGTAGACTTCAGGAACTCAATGCACGTCGTAGAGAAGAGAAGCTGCAGCTGGACCAGGAGAGGCTGGACAGGCTGCTCTATGTACAGGTAATGATGGCAGTTTTTTGTCAAGTCTCCTGGGAGATGTGCAGGCTGCCCTCACAGCTTTTCTAGAAAGTCCTGCATCGCTGTAAAGAAGCTGTAACCATCCTCTGCCTTTTCTGATAGGAGATCTCTGAGGTTACTCACAGAATAAAACAGAATTGATGCAGGAGATACCTGCAAGTTCTGAATAGTGCTTTTTTGGTGAGGTATTTTGAATGCTGCAGAGCCTGCACATTCGGAGTCTGCCATAACAAGGGCAAGGTATACATATGTAGCTAGTGTGTGTTTGATTACCATGTATCATCCATCACAGCATGCTCTGATCTGTCTGTAGGAACTTCTGGAAGATGGTCAAATGGATCAATTCCACAAAGCTTTAGTGGAGCTGAACATGGACTCTGCAGAGGAACTTCAGTCTTACATCAACAAGTTGAGCCTGGCCATTGAACAGACAAAACAAAAAATCCTACAGGCAGAAGTCAATATCGAAGTGGATGTTGTGGACAGCAAACCAGAGGTATGTTTTCTCCGAGTTAATCTGATTCTAGTCTCTGTGAGAGTTAGGTTTCTGTCTTAAAGTGTTCTCTATCTGTAAGTATCTGTATTATTGATGGGTTAAAGTTTCCCTTTAACACGCTTCTTGCTGATTTGGCAGCTGTTCCTCCTGTTTGGGGCCTTCCAATGTAGTTACAGAAATTTGGAGTTATGAGTGTTTAAGAGTGTGCCCAAGATCAGTAACCCTTCTTGCACTGTGTTCTGGGATATATCTTACAGTTTGATTTCTTACAATTCTAAGCATAATCTCTAGGCTTGCTGACACTGGTTAAAGTGCACAGTTATATAAAGTCAGTAAGCTTCCTCAAAGACTTCAACTGGGGAAGAAAGGAAACAGCCCTAAAAGATAAGATCATCTGAAGGTACAACTGCTTCCATTTGTACTTATTCCTGGCAGCATATGCAAGTCAGCATTCTTGCTGAAAGATGGCTTGCTTACAGGGTTGTAAATGCAGCAGGTAACATATTGATCTTGTTTGTACTGCAAGCTAACTCCTGTCTTTACTTTTGCATTACTTTTGCTGAAATAATCTATGATGCATCAGGTCCACTTTTTGCTTTTTTAAGAAAATTGATGACATTGGACTGTAAGTACTTGAGTTTTCAGTTGTTGCAGTAGTAGGTCAGACTATCCTTAAATATTTGTAATGTAGCATTGAAGGTATGGAACTGTTAGGCTTTAAAAAAATATTTGTCTGCCTTTCTGTTCTTTGCTTTCAGATGCGGAGAACTTTATGGTAAGCAGCCAACCCTTTGGTTTGCTTAGGGTATGGTTCTGGTGCAGTCAAGCAGCACGCTTTGTTCTTTTTACTCAGATATAAAAGGTTGAGTGCTAGGCTTGGTTGTTGGAGTTTTCTCTGAGAAGAGAAAGTTACTTTCTGTTTTGCCAGACTAACACAGGCCCAGCACATAGCAGCTGCTTCTAAGGGATGGTCCAAATCTATTTCTACACTTGCTTTTAATTGCCTTGCAAGTCACAGAAGATCATTTTCGGTTTTATCTGTCTACGCTCAGGAAGAGGTGGAGAAGAAAACACAAGAATGAAGCATGGAGGAGAGTGATGCCAGAAAGAGCAGTTCCCATGTTTTATATAGAACCTGGGACACAGCCGGAACTAGCCAGTGAGATGGTTCTTCTGTGTTCTATCCTTATCAGGAAAGTTTGTGTAAGAATCAGAATGAATGCATGTGAGCCAAATGGGGTTATGGTGGATTTCACCCACATTCTAGAAAGAGGTGAATGTCAGTGGGCTGCTTGTAGCTCTGCCAGGTGGCTGTGCCTGAGTTCCAACACGTCTGTTTTGGATCAGATGCTCCTCTTGTTTACAAGGTGTAGTCTCAAATGTTGGAATGAATTGGCAAGCCCTTTTTGTTTGGTCTGGGCTTTGTGAGAAAGCTTACAGCTACCAGTGAATCCATTTGTGAAGATAAACCATCTTTGTGGCTGTGTGAAGGAGCTAAAAGCTAATTCTGTTGTCTTGGGGTCTGCGCCAGCTCTTCTGCTGTATTCTGCTTTTCTCTGTTATTGTTCTTTGTTATTTCTTGTTTTTTAGAGGACAGAAATGTTGGAAATAATCTCTTTAGTTTGTGTTCACAATGCGCACACTTCAATTTATAGTAGTTGCCTGTCTTTTAAATGAGATAAATGAGATGTTCAGAAGGTTTAAATGTTCTAGCTTTATCTCATCCTGCTATTGCTTTCTAAATGTAACAAATGTTTGCCTTAAAAGGCAAAACCAGATATTTAGTGATGAAATTAAAAATCTACTTCATTATAATGAAGGAATAAATGAGATAATAAAATAATTGCTCCTTCACAACAGTGTTCTGTGATCTGGAGTGATGCTTTTCATTAGGAAGGAGCTTTGGGAGCAGCTTTCATGTCTGTGTAAAATGCAAGGAGTTTTTTTTATATGTGCAAATGCTAACCAGTTACAAGTAGGCAACTGTCAAAAACCGTGCTAGCTTTTTAGCTAGCAAATATTTGTTTTCCAGTCCCACACAAGCAAAGCAGGGAATTAAGTGGTAATTATAGAATGGTTAGAGGTGCTGGGAGAGCACCAAGTTTCAGCCAACTTTTAAAAGCTATTTTAATAAGCTTTAATATGTTATTATGCTAACAGGGTCCTGGCATTCAACCTGTTGACTAAGGCTTTTAATTTCTGAGCTGGCTTCAAGATAAAATAATAAAGAAGTCTGAAAGTGCTTGGTTTTTATTCTTTGAGTGTAGTTTTCCACTCGTGTTTTCTGTGTTGTCATCATTCTGATCTTTGTCTTCAGTGCTGAAGAACAACATTTATTTTCAAGCATGGTAGAGAGTTTGGATGTGCAGGAATCAGGGGTAGTTTTCTGAATGTGTCACCAGAACTGGTTTTGTGTGTGTGCTTGGCTCATCTGGGCTAACAGATCTGAACATTCTGTTTCCAGACCCCTGACTTGGATCCACTCGGCAGCGAGCAGTCACTGGAAGATGTTGAAAGTATTAATGAGTTCGAACCTTTATTTGCTGAGGAACAACCTGAAGCTGAGAAGCCTGTTGCTGCAGTGCAGGTTTGACTTCAATACCTGCAGCTTATGTCAGGGGTTACTGCCTGCTGTTTGTTTGACTGTTTCTCCAAATACAAACAGTGGTTTCTGTTTGTAAAAGAGATTCTGAACCCTCTGAACTGTGCACAAGGCAGGAGTCCTCACAGTCATGACTGATGGTTTGAGCATGAGTGCACCCAGTCAGCTCTCTGCACGTTGTAGCAGTGCCATGTTCTTAGGGAAGCAGTCCTGCTTAAGCTTTTGTGTGTGACTCATAGCCTGTATCACATTCCAGTGTGAACAAAACTTTCAGTTTGTGAAACTGAGCTTTAGAACTGGTGACAAATCAGCTTTAGGAGTGGCAACAAATAAGGGAAAAAAAAAAAGAGTCAATTTTCTGTATCCTTTTGGAACCTTTTGCAGCATGGTATTTTCTATGAGAGAATATCATGATCTTTTTAGTAGAGAATTCTCTGGAATCTTTGCTTCCTTTGTTCTCTAGTGTAATTTTCTACTTTTCAATCTCCTGTTTCTAAAGCCCGTGTTTAACCTGGCAGAATACCACCAACTTTTTCTTGGCACTGAAAGAATAAGGGCTCCAGAGATCATCTTCCAGCCCTCCCTGATAGGAGAAGACCAAACTGGTATAGCAGAAACGATGCAGTATGTCCTCGAAAGGTGAGTTCACAGAGATACTGGGCACCTTCTTCAAACAAGCCTTTGTTTGGAGACCAGCTTTTGCAATACTTGTTATTTAACAGTGCCCTGAGAAAATATGTTTGAGTAGCTCTTTTTTGTCAGGCTTGAGCACTGAAGTTTAGAGATGCCTTTTCTGAAAACCACATCTGAGTTTCTGGTCATCTGAGTCAATGGTCTTCAAATTCTTTCAGGCATTCACTCATATTTATTAAAAATTTTAAATTGTCAATATATGTGTATTTATTTCTAAATTAGATACATGTGCTACTCAACTAGCATGTATACATTGTAAAATAGAAGTTAAAAAAGGATATGACAAAGGTTGAATATCAGTGTTACAAAAACTAGTTTTGGGCCCCTCTCTACAGCAAAGATACTGAGTTGAAGGAATGCATTCAGTGAAGAGTGGCAAAGCTGGTGAAGGAACTATAAAATGACATGAGAGATGGCAGAGGGAACTGAATTTAACTGGAGGAGTCTGAAGGCAGACATTGCTCTCTGTGACTGCTTGAAACAAGGCTGCAGCATGGGGGCTGTTGGTCTGTTTTGCAGCAAGTGGTGGGACACAAAGAAATGGCCTGCAGTTGTGCCAGGGAGGCTTAGATCAGATATTGGGAAGAATTCATTTGTGGAAGGTGGATAGGCGTTGGGGCACTGTGTGAACTGGTGAAATTGCCATCCCTGGAGGTACTTCAGAGATGTGTGGATGTGGTGCTTCGGGGGTTGGAGATTTGTGACCCTTGAGGTCTCTTCCAACCCTGGCCGTTCTGTGGTTCTGTGACATGGTTTAGTTGTGGACTTGGCAGTGTTAGGTTGATGGTTGGACTTGATAATGGTAAAATCACTGAGCTTGGAAGAGATCCTTATGGTTCTGTGAAAATGACTTTCTTCCCATGCAGCAGTGCTTTGTCCTGCACACATCCTGCTTTGAAGACCTCTGATCCAAATTGTTGTGGGGTAAACAAAGAACCCTTGTAAATACCTGTCACTTACAACGTAAGGTATCAGTCTCTGTACGACCAAAGTCAGTGATGTTTGTAAGTTATCAAACTCTAGGAGTATATGAGATTACATTTTCTGGAAAGAAAGAACTCCAGCTCTACTGAAGTGTTGGTTTATGAGGATACAGTTCAGAGTGCTTTGAGGATTTTCTTCTGCCACCCCCTAAATTTACAGAAACCTAATGAACACAGGGTTTCATGCCAGTGAGGTGGAGAAAATTTCTCAAAGTGTGAATCTTGAAGACAAACTGTTTCTCCCTAGTAGCTGTTCAGTTCAGAGAAGTAATGTTCCTGAAAAAAGACAGAATTTGTGGGTTTTTTCCTCCTTGTAGGTATTCAAAAGAGCAACAAGCTGTTCTTGTGCAGAATGTTTTTCTTACTGGTGGAAATGCAATGTACCCTGGACTAAAGGCCAGAGTCCAGAAAGAACTCCTCGAAATGAGGCCATTCCAGTCATCTTTTCAGGTATGCACACTGATAGAATGTTTTCATGAACATCCTGTTCATCTGTGTTAAAGAATATTTCAGGCTGGGAGAAGTACAGCGTGGGTGTCCTCAGAGCATGGGAATGGAGAACGCTTGTTTTATGGCGAGGCAGATGGCAGCTTTTGACCTAAGAGCATGAGGGTGGAAGAGTGATGCACTTGGTCTTTGTGAATACGTTAGGAAGAGTAGAATTGCCTTGGAAAAGTTTCTTCAGCTGAAGGGCTGTGCACTCACAAGAAAGCACGTTTGGCCGAATGTCTGCAAATTGGGGCAGTTACTTTCTGAAACAAGCAGCCTTTGTTAGGAGTCATTGCTGGGAAAAAGTGTGCTCATTTGAAAATGAAGTTACTTGGTATACTTACATCTAAAGATTATCTGGAATAGCAAGAAAAGTGTCTTAAAAACCTATGAAAAATAAGAGTTTTCTTTCCATTAAAATGTTCTGTGCTGTGGTTCTATCAGAAATGTGTCATTTCACAGATATTATTTATGGTGCTTAGAGTGCCTAGTTCAGCCAGCTTATAGCTGCAGCAGGAAGCATTTTATGCTACAGTAATAAGAATAATTTAAATGGGAGCATGAATCTCCTCCAGAAGAAAAAAGAGCACGTGGAAAGCACACGTGTAGTCTTTTTCCCACAGTGTGATTTCTTGGCCTGCAGTATTCTACCTTGCTACTTCAGGCAAGTAGGAAATGTTGCTGAGCACTTGGTGCTTGTTTTGCATTACCATGAGCTGCTAGTGCTGTTGGTTGTGAGCGTGATGCATGCGTGTGCTCTGGAAGCTGTAGAAACTCAGCAGTTTTGTGGAGGATTGATCTGAAGGAGAAAACATGCTTCAGACCCTTTCCTAACACTGCTTCCAGAAGCACTGAATTACCAGCTCAAACTTTAGAAAATGTGATTTGCATTGTAACTGGGGTGAAAAGAGCTTTTCTCTCCTGTGTTCAGATCTTAAGCTGGGATTGTCCTGCATTTGATGTTGTTGTCTTTTCCTTCCAGGTTCACCTTGCTTCCAGTCCCATTTTAGATGCCTGGTACGGGGCTCGGGATTGGGCAGTGGAGCACATGACCCGTGAGGAAGGTTGGATTACCAGAAAAGACTATGAAGAAAAAGGGGGAGAATACCTCAAGGAGCACTGTGCCTCCAATGTCTACGTGCCCATTCGCCTTCCAAAGCAGGCCCCGAGGACTACAGAGGCATTAGCACCCAGCAGGGCCCTGGCAGCTGGTACAGGCAATCCTTGTGAGCAGGCGTAGCAGTGATGAGCTTTTGTCACAGTCCCTCCCGTGGAGGTAACAGTGCAAGGAACAAAGCTAATGCTCTGCAGCCTGAGCTGTGTGTGGAGCACAGGCCTTGGGCTCGCCTTGTTGGCTGCTCTGAGAGTGCAAAGCACCTCATCTGTTGCTTGAAAGAGATGTACTGCTCTAGAGCTGGAGCCATTGTAATGGGTTGTGCTGCTGCTGCATAGCACGGGGATGTGAATCAACAAGGAGGAGCGCAGGAAAAATACATTCCAGAGGAGAATACTGTCTTATGAACTTTTATAATAAGACTCGGGGTTACTTGAAAATGTTTGTGGATATTTTTTAATTAAAATGTACTGGTTGTATACTGCTCTCATTGCACAGTGCAGAAGCTGGGCTTGTATTACACGAGTCAGCCCAGCAGGTGTCTCCGTTGCTCGCTGCAGAGAGCTGTTGCAAAGCTGTGCTGGAGGGGCTGCTCGGCCTCCTCCTGAGGCCCTCTGGGCTCGGCCTCATTGATGTCCATCTTGCTACGTGCTTCTGGTAAACCACTGCACGATCAGTGAGATTTCAGACGCTTTCTGAATTTGTCAGCTGCTGGCATCTTGGTTAAAAGTAGAGGTCTGTTCACACAGCATGGCTCAGCTGTAAAGAAAGAGCTCTCCTTAAAGCACAGACCAGGAGGAATGCAGTCCTGTGAAGTCTGTATGTGATTTTGTAGGAGTGAGGGCTGAGCAGGGCAGCTCTCGACAGGTGTGACTGCTCTTTGAAAGCTGGCTGGGAGCACCTGCATATTACAGAGCATGTTGCAGCTGATCTGTAGCTATATTTCATGATACACAGTGCAGTGGTTTCTCCATTAGAAGCCTCTTGGTAGCACGTTCTCCTGAAACCATTAGCGTTGGTCATATTATTACAGTGGTGGGAAAGAGGACAGATCATGCCCTTGCAGAAGTCCCTTGCCACTCCTAATGTGGTCTCACAGTACTAGAAAGGGGGCCAACATGAATGTAGTCAGGATTGTTAGCTGCCTCTGAGGGTCAGGTTTACCTTTTGACTTAAAGTGCTTCTGAACTGCTGGCAGTGTGACTAAATCAGAGTAGGGGGTGGTCACTGAAAGATTTGTTAGCAATAAAGCGAACTTTTTGCTTTATCACTGATGTGTTTCAGTGATCTGAGCTCTTTAATAGTACAGTAATTAGCATGTATTTGAGTGGTTGTGTTTTTCAGCCAGGCCCCTGTCCTGCACAACATACTCCAGATGAAATGTAACTGAAGATCTGTTTCTCACACTGAACAACTTGCTGTTGCTTTCCCAAAAGAATAATCAGTGCTAAATGCTGGACTGAAATCTAAGCAGACACCAGCAGTTTAGCAAGAGCCCTGAACTGTTAGGCTGGAAAAAGTAAGACTATGAGGAAAATATCCGGGCCATAATTGGTATCAGGAGGGTAAGCAGGTGGTGGCTTACAGTGAGTCCCGTGAGAGCTGCAGAGCATTGAGATAAGTTATCTTGCTGAGCCAAAACAAAGGGTGTGAGATGGGGGTTGATGCTGAAGTGTTGAGTTTATTGCCATAGGATGTGATACACACATCTGATAGCAAAAATCTCAACCAGACCTGTGATTTTAAGAGAAGGTGAGTGTCCAGCTCTGAGGTCCTGCACACTGAGGTCGCAGCTGTGTGCAGAAGTTACACATGTTCATATATTGCTCAGGGAGTGTAGTGGGGGAAGTGGTATGGAGCTGCTCTGCTGCCTGGTTCCTGAGGTACCTGGCACTGGTTTCTCCCTCTGGTCTCAACTGGTTGGAGGGAGGGAGGAGGAAAAGGGAACCTGCTGCCTCTAGCTAGGACCAGCAATCCAGATTTGAGGCTATCCCTAGCTGCCTCCAGGCCTACTGCTTTTCAGGAACATTAAGGCAGTTCGAGGTGTTCAAAGAATGTGGAAAAGCATGCTGTGCTGAAATGCAGAAATGTTACACCCCACCAAAGCGCCTCTTTTGGTTTTGTTTGTGTCAGTGAGCTGGGCAGGGTGGTGTCCCATTGTTGTCTGACCCCTTTCTGACCCATCTCTAGCTATCGTGATAGGCACAGTGCTCATGATGTTCGATATCTGGAGTAGTAACACTGCTCTAAATGCTTGGCCAAACTGTTCCAACCATTCTGCTTATTAATTGAAAGCAGAGCTGTCTAATGCAGTAAGGAGTTGCCAAGTCAGCTGCTTTGACTGCTTCAAGGAAGCATGATTTTATAATCTTCTAAATATTAGCTATTAATTTGCTACTTTATCCCTGTAATAACTGGAGTATCTAATGAACTTGGGCAATACAATTGCAGTCACAAGCTGTGCAAAATATGCTGGTGTCACTTAATTGCTCGGAGTAGCAATGTTAAAAGGGTGGACGTTGGAAAACAGGATTGATTTTACTAGCTGAAGTTTGCTTTCCTGATTTGTTGTGCTGAGGTGCTGCGTGAGTGGTGGTGGCACAAAGGTTGAATGAGTGTGTGGTGCTGAGGGCAGGAGGAAGCAGTGTTGGTTTTGGCAGTACTGTTAGTTGAAGTTCTCCTGGATGCCCACCGTGGTGATGTTTCTGTGGCGAGGTTTTCTCATGCCCGTGTGAAGAGTTTGGTGTCAGTTTTCCATATCACTGATGTAGGGTGCACCAAACCCAGAGGGGGCTTGGAACCTTCCTCCTGTGCTTTGGCTTATGCCACCTAAAGGAGGAGGGGGCCGGTAAGATGCCTTCCTGGCTTTTTCTGATGGGTGTCTGGCTGTGTGGGGAGCTGTAGGAGGAATTGTTACTGGAGGGGAAAAAATACAGCTCTGTGGACAGGAAAGTGCAGGTGATGTCACTGTGAGAGCCTTTGGCAAGTGCTCAGTGGGCTGAGCAGAGCTGCTGTGTAGGCAGCCTTGTGGTCAGCAGTGTGTTTATCCTCACAGGTGTCCTGCAAGCTGACAAGTGAGGTTGCCAGCCTGAGTTGGTGGAGTGGTCTGTAGCTGGTCCTCAGTACTTGAGGTTTAAAGCAGCCCACAACCTTATTATGCAACCGAGTTACTGCCTAATTCAGGTCAAAGAATACAAAAGTACAAGTTGCAATTTGTCAGGCTTGGTGAGCTTGGTCTATTTAATCTAAACGGAGCTCAAACTGGGTTCCACCTTTCACAGGGTCCCTAAGATCTGTTTGGAGTGGGAACACCACGTCAGTGAGGAGCCCTGGAGACTAAACGTGGGGCACGTGTCCCACGTCCCAGATTTCTGCTTGGGCTGTGTGCAGGGCTTGCTGCTGCTCTTCAAGGCTTCTTATGTTTCCTGTGCCACGACGACTTCAAACACAAACCATTCTTTGCTAAATCTCCGCCAGGACACCAAGGTTGGAACTCTTTGCTTCAGTTATTAATCTCCAAAATAGTTAATGATGTGCTGGGTAAGACAGCATTTCAGAAGAAAGAGGAGATGCCTGTGAACTGTCACTTAAAATTTAGGATTATCCCTCCAGTGACAGCCTGCAATGATCATGTAGCAGCCGGGCATAAAGCAGAACTTCTGAAGCTTGTGTGGGATGAGCAGGGGAAGGCAGACTGCTGTAATGGATTTAATGTTATCCCCCAAGTCAGGTGGTGGGATTTCCACCCTGGTTCAACACGTCAGGCACAGAGCAGCTGCTCAGAGTCCCATTTTTCACTCCCACTGCCAGTCCTTGCACATGAGCTTCAACAAAACTGCCTGGTCTGATGGTCTAAGTGGTTCAGACTGCGGCTTCCCGGTGCGGTTTGCCAAGAATTCTCCACGCTGCATTTTACTCTCTCTTTGCAGATGCTCAGCTTCCCATGGTTAGCTGCTGCACACCTTTTACTCCACTTCTGAGCCCAGCCTTGGCTCTTATGACATCAAAGTGCTATCAGTTTTTATGTTTTTTTGTTTTCTTTTTAATTGCATTGTTTCTTCTATATCCTTAGGGATCTTCCCTTTTTTTGAGCAGTGGGCTTGCTTTCCATTTCCTAAGGCAGTAGAGACCATTATGAGAGTACTAGACCGAGAGCCAGGAGGCCTGCCTTCATTTTCATCTCTATTTACTCCTGACAAGCTAGTTTGTGCTTGTTAGCTTTGACCTTGCTCCTGTGCCTCGGCATCTATAACAGCAAAATGAACCCAAGAGTCATGCTGGTAGAGGCTGTTCACACTGTGTAACAGCTGCAGAAGACAGTAAGGGTGGTGGGAAGGCTGAAAAGGGGTTTGCAGGGAAGGAGGGAGGTCAGATAAAACCCAGGGGAGTAGGTCCATGTGTGCTTCATGGTCAACTGGGCCAGGTGCAGGTAGGAGTCTTCAAAACCACTTGCTGCCTGAAGCTGGATGAGGCATGCAGTAGTGCAGGAATCACTCTGTACTTGTGTTCTTTTATTCTTCAACAATTGCTGCTGAGCACTGTCAGAATATGGAACAAACTGGGTTTATGGTCTGACTCAAGAACTTCTATGCTCTCAGAATTCCTGATCTTGTGCAGGACGGGATTTCTTTACCTGTTAATTTATGTTAGGTGTGAGGTGAAGAACAAAGTGTTTTATCTTTATCTGCCAGGAAGTAAAATGAATAGAAGCGATGTGCTGGTGGGGAAAACTTCTTTCATGTTGTCAGTGAGGCTCCTTGTAGGCATCAGACTCTGTGCTTTCAGCTCAGGCTGTTAAACCAGGAAGCTCGGGGCGCTGCTCTTGGCTTCATTCAGACCCAGTGAATTCCAGAGGAGAGACCTTTTGAAAACATCGAAGCTCCCTGTGCTTGGAGGATGTGATACCTGAACTTCATTTATGGTAATAAAGCAGGAAATGGAGCCTGACTCACTGACACTTGTTCTGCAGCCTGAGCAGCAGCCTGACCCATCAGGTGAGGAGCAGCCCTGGGGGTGCCCTGAGGGCTGGCAGCGACGCGCGCTGCTCCCTGCACAGCTCCAGACATAATTCTGTTTGCTCTCTGTCTTTATAATCTGTTGTCAGCACTCCAGAGGCAAAATACCTTTTCCATGTCCCCAGCTGTTTTATAGGTTGTATCCACAGTAACACGGATTCTGCCATGGCTTTTTAGGTTCACAGAGGGTGTTACCAGGTAGATTCCATCTGCCAGCTCTGGCTTTGAGCAGTCAGTAAGCTTCTTGCATAGCTTGTTGAGTATTAGGAAAAGCAGCTCTGATTGCTGAATGTGGCAGGGCTGCTTTTTTTTGGTCATCTTTACACTCAGTTTTATGTGCCTTGGGTTGAACACATACATTAGCAGGATGCTCCTGGCTGGTGTTGTTTTTCACCACTGCAGAATGCATTTCCAGCCCTGACCCTTAGATCACTATAATTTCATTTTCCGTGCTGCAGCTTGGTTAAAATATACCCCACTCCTCCTCTCACCCCAGATTCCTGCCACATACCTGGCATTCCTTCATCTTAATGAGATGAGGGAGTGGGGGATTTCACCCTCCTGGAATTTTAGAGGAATACTAAGTGGATTTCTCATGAAAAGCTCCATTTAGGATATAAATCTCTCCAGAAGATAGCCTCACGTGGCAAACCTTGCTTTTGCTGGTAGTGGCAAGCAGTTTTTTAGCTCCTTGTTTGATCATTGTGGTGCAGGTATTGCTGTGATGGAGCGAGCTGCTGGGTGGAGGCTGAGCTCTTATCAGTTTGTGTAGGCAGGGCACTGGGCACCTCCTGCTGCTGGCACTCGGCCTTCCTGCTGGGTGCTGCGATCTGCCCAAACTCTATTGCTTTATTTTGCCTTGTCTATGTGGAAAATGTTCACTGCCAAATGAAAATAGTTTTGTTCCAGGCTTGGCCATGAATTTACTCTACGGATCATGAAGCTGCATTGGACCAGTTTCCTGCAGCTGACCCAGGAGGTGTTGGGCAGTGGTGTCCCATGGCAGCAGGAGCACACTGTGTTTGTCACAGCGCTCGCTGATGGTGGCCTTGCTGAGGCTGGTGTGCTGCAGCCACCTGGAGATGCTCAGTCCCTGCTGCAGGGAGGCTCCACATGTTCACACATAGCAGTGACAGTGGTCCCAGCTGCCTGGAGTAGTTTCAGGACTGCCCTGGAGCACTTGCATCCCTGTAGGGATGGAGCAGGAGTGGTGTGTGTACAACAGGAAGGGGAGGCTGCCAATAATGACAGCTGGCTGATGCTGGGTAAGCAGTGAGGCACGGAAATGCAGTGTGCCCAGAGCTGTCTGCGTGGGATCCAGCTCCATCACAGGGCTCTGCCCTGTCCCACGTGTCAGGATGGATTAAAGAATACAAATCACAGAGCTCAGCATGTAGGTGGATGTTGGAGTGGCAGCACCATGCTGTGCCATGAGCTTCTGCCACGGAGGTGCTGTGAATGTGCTGCAGTCTGTGAGGACGCTGCTGTGATGAGCCCTGTGCTGTGCAGCTCTGTTCTGGAGCCCCGCGGGGTGTGAGGGCTGTGGCTGCTTTCATCCTGCTCCACGCGGCAGGCGGCCACGGGTGTCCTGCTGCAGGAGGAACGGGGGAGAGGAAAGCTTTGATTCCCAGCGATGGACACCACGGTGCTCGGGATGGAAGGGCCGGGGGCTCCTGCTTTGCTTTTATCCTTTGTGACTGGGACATGTTGTTGTGGGAATGGCTGTGACCTCTCCTCCGGCTTTGTGCTCCCTGGCTGATATTGTTCACAGCAGCTTTGATATGCAGCTCGGGGGGGAGCTGGAAGAGCTAAGCCTAGCTGCTCACTGCATGCTGCGGCCTGGCAGGAGGTGCCCCTGAGCTCGGATGGAGCTCCCCGTGCCCTGGGGAGGGCAGTTGAGCCGTGTGACATCACGGGCTGTCCTTGGGGTGCTCATGTGCTCAGCATCTGCTGCTTGTGGGTGTGATTTCCTAGGGAAGGAGAGCTGGGAGGCTGCAGAGCTGCAGTGCTGTGCTCAGGGTGTGGGGTCACTGCTGCAGGTGGGAGATGCCCACGGCGTGAACCCACGATGGCCTGCAGACAGCAAGGCAGACCTCGCAGGGACGGCTCACACTCATGACTGCTTTTCTCTGGGGTACGTTTTAAAAACCCCGGTGAGTTTTGTTTTTCCACAGCACAGCAGGCTCCCTAGGCATCAGAGAGGACAATTCCCAGAAGCTGTAAAACCCTCAACTTGTTTACACAACTCAACATGCACTTTATAATATTGTGTCACCCTTCAACCTTCTCTGCTGGTTGTTTTATGTGCTGGAATCTGGAATACGTGTAAGCCCTGTTGATGCTGTCTGCCTTACACAGGCTCGAGATGCTTTTAATTGCAAATTCAGTGCTGTTTCTATGAGCAGTTGACAACTCAATCACAGGAGCCAGCTGTCAGGAAGAAGAGCTCTTATCAGGTATCAAATGTAGCCCTACAGTCAGAGATGGGAGCTCAGGGCAGGGGTTTGTTTCAGGCCATGGGCTCTGTGGGATGGGTTTGGTATGTTGTTCCCACTTCAAGCTGAGTTCTGCCTTGTGCAGGTGCTTTCCAGCATGGAAGCAGAGCTGGGTCCAACCTGAATATCTCTGAACCTCTAAGAAGTGGATGCTATAAAAGCAAGCCCAAACAAACCAACCCCCTGAAACAAATGAACAAAACCTCAGAATGCCAGTGCTCTGACTCCAGTATTTTGCACTGAAAGAACCCTCACAGATGCACCAACTGCTTTCTATTTGTCTCCTTTCCAGAAGGGTGTTGGAGCCGCCCCACCTCCTGAATTGAAGGAAGTCTTTTCCTGAAATGAGCACAGAAAGGCTCCAGGTTTCTGGCTCAGGAAGTCGCTCCTCAAGCCTGGGGCCGGCACAGACATCCCTGTCAGGCCAGTGGAATCCCAGTGAGTGAAGTCCTGCCAAGAGCAGTGAGTTTGGTTGCTCCCGCTCTGTTTTTCTTCCCATGCTGTGCCAGAGGGTGAGCAACCAGGGTCTTCCTTCCTATTCAGAGAAGGCTTAAATCTAGGCTGAGAACAAACCATAGTTTTGTTTCTTAGGCATCCTAAAGACCTTCCTACAAATAAGTCAAAATGTGTACGTTTTCAAGTGCTCTGCCCCTTGGGATTTGTGTTCCTGCTTGAAAATAAAAGCTTGTAATTCTCTAAGTGTGGCATCAGCTTCTTCTGAGCTGTGTAATTTAAGCATTTTGAATGTAAGCGCGTGCCTTTAATGCCGTAATTTCTTAATACCACTGCAACGACTGTTAAAACATATATGTAATTTGATTATAGCTTTATGCTAAATGCAGAGCCATAATGGATATGATGGTGTTTAAGTTCCTTCCCTACCAAGCATAAAGACAAAATTCTCTCTCCATCGTAAGGAGAACTTCCTCAAAGGACAAAACTGAAAGGCTTTTGGTAATAATTTAGGTTTTGGAAGAAGGAGTTTAAGCTGAAAGATGGGATTGAAGCAGGGCCTGAAATGCAAAATGCTTTGCTGCAGAGGTGGAACCTGGCAGACCCGTTCTCTGCTCCCTCGTACTCCCCTTTCCCAGTTGTGATGTTCCTGGATAGAGTAACAGAACTGTTTGTGTCACATCTGTCCCTTCTCCTCCTCCCAGCACCTTTCTATGGAGTACCCAGAAAAGACTTAGATTGCCAAAGCTCTCAGGAAATCCTCTTTTTTTTTTTTTCTTTTCCCATTTTCACCTATCTTTACTAGCTATTTTGGGAAGCAGAAAACGTATACAGAAACATGAATCTCTGTGCAATTGTGTCTGGCCCCTGGGGCTGATGCCTGATGGCTGGAGCTGGTTCCTTCTGCCCTTCCTGGTGTGACTGCAGCACCTGGCTGCTAATTCTGACGTGCTCTGCCATGCCTTGACCCAGCATGGAGGCTTGTTTGGGGAATAGCCCACAGCTGGAGCACCTGCACATTTCAGAGGGTGCTTGTGAAACACGGAAGTCTCCATGCATGGAGCTGTTTCCACACACCGCGATGCACGTCAGCATCGTGCAGCCATCCGTGCTCGTGTGTCATGGCAGCTCCTGTACCGCGCCACAGGCATTTCTGTGCCCCGCGGGGAAGCTGCCACATTGCCGTGATACCTCCTGTGGGTTCTGACATGATGCTATGAAGTTGGGGAGTGCTTTGAGGGCTGTGTGAGGAGTGGCTGAAGTCGCTGTGTTTGCTGAGGAGGCTGAGGGGAGGCCTCACGGTGGCCACAGCTCCTCATAGGGAGCAGAGGGCAGCGCTGAGCTCTGCTCCTTGGGGACCACAGCAGTGCCTGAGGGCATGGCACAGAGCTGTGTTAGGGGAGGGTCAGGTGGGGGTCAGGGCAAGGCTCTGCCCTGGAGGGCGGTGGGACAGGCTGCACAGGGCAGTGGGCCCCCAGGCTGTGGGTGGTGCTGTGTGGAGCCAGGGGCTGAGCTGGGTGATCCTCATGGGCCAGTCTGTGATCCTACAAAAGTCCCAGACCACGCACATACCCCCTTATCTCCCATGCAGCACACCCCCTGCTGTCCAGGCCCTGGACTTTATCTTCTCATGAAGAAACACAACGCTAATGACTTCAGCAGGGAAATGTTGAAGCAACCCCAGCATGCTTCTGTCTTCACCCCAGTGCTGGGCACTGCCGTCCTGCCCACAGGTCTCTGGTTTGCTTCAGTGCAGAGCTACAGTCCCCAGTTTTGATGCTGCATCACCCCATCCACATGCACTCCTGCCCCTCACAGAAAGGCTGCTCCGTATTGACATCTCACCCCTGGGAGCACACAGCTCAGCACAGAGTCATTGAGAGGGCGTTGACGTAACATGATTGAGAACTTGACCTCCAGATTATTTGCTTAAACTTCGAAACACAGGGGGAGGAGAATATGCTCCAGTTCTGTGGGGCCAATGGAGAAACACTCATGTTTGCCTGCAGCAGCTCGCGTGGTCCCTCAGCGCCCAGCATCCCGCCCAGCTCCGCTGGCATTATTAGCAGTAATGGTCAATGAGCTGTACCAGGAAGTGGGAGTAACAGAGATGTCAATTTTAGCACTTTGGGACAAAGGAAAATTAATGTTTGCTGAGCAAGAAGGATTTAAGAACCTAGCAGGGAAAGGGAGGAGAAGGAAAAACTGTAAGCCTTTAAAGGAAGAACTATAGAAAATATTTAACAATGCTCCTCCAGGCTCGCCAAACAAGTAAAATGCATTTTCACCTGCTGGTTCACACGGATTTGACTTTTGGTTCGTGATTATATAAAGAGCTTTGCAGCACAGGTTTTAAGCAGGGCTTGAAGGTAAGTGGATCCCTGTGCCTTTGTATTGTTCAGGAGAGGAATGCGGCTGTGCACTACTGACAGACGCAGACATTTGCAGCAGGTCAGGCCCGGGCTGCTGAGGGATTAGGTCGCTATCTGCTGCTGCTGCTGCCTTAAGGCAAATTGAAATTTTCACAGAAAAAAAGAGAAGGGGAAGAAAGTCACCCAAGAACGTAACTGACCACCCAGCACTGGGCAAGGCAGCATGAGCCGCTCAGCCCTCCGCCTTGCTTTGAAATGTTGCTACAGCAATTAGATGGCCTGCTTGATTGGGGCATTGCTAATTCTTGTAGAATAGAAGAGATTGAGCCCAGCTCTACATAGCTGTGTGTGGAGGCCCTGAGCGTGGGGACAATCCTGAGGCTGCTGGCTGTGGTGCCGTGAGGAGCGGAGCTTTAGGATGGGGAAAAGGGCACGTGTGCTGTTGGGTCACGTTAAGTAATGAATTTCACATCATAAGGGTTTGATTTTGAGCGTGGGTTATGTGTTGTGGGACCAATGGGTGCAGGGTCCAGGTGTGGTTGCCAGGTGGGTGTCACTGGGCTCTCCCCTCCCTGCAGAGCCGCTGGCAGCAACCCTGCAGTGGCTGTGGGTTCCCTCTGCTTTTCTTACTTTAGGTAAGAACCACACGCTTCCAGACAGAAAGCTGTGGGAGAGAAAGCTGCAAGTGTACGCAAACCAATAACTGAATTTATCAAAAGACTTAATAGTGACTCCCAGGCAGTGTTTTCTGCCTTCCAGGAGAGGCGATGAGGGGAAATGTCTCAGCAGCCCCAGCCTGCAAGGAATCAGTGTCTGTACAGCAGTGAGCACTGCTGTAGCTTGGCTGGGGCTGGGTGCCAGGCAGGGACCTTCTGGGAGCTGTGAGATGGGAAGCAGTGCGGGCTGAGCGGGATCACTCAGGCATGCTAACAGCCCAAAGATGAGTCCTTCCCTTCACTGCTCTGCCAAGCCCAAGCCTGGCAGTGGCTGCCTCAGTCCTGGGGATGCTGCCAAGGGCAAGGAACTGTTGTCTTGCATGAATGCACGTGAAGGGTGAAGCTGGAGAGGACACAAACGAACTATTCAAGTTATTTTTTTCTGCTGGTGATGGGCTGTGGTCTGTATGCTGTGTTGACCTACACAGACATGTCTGACTATGGGCACTTTTGGTGGCAGTCGTGCTGAGAGCAGCACGTCCTGCTGCAGCTTTGAGGCTGGAGGTGCCCTGCTCTGATCTCAGGAGGAGGTGACAGGGCACTGAGTGTTAGCACTTTAAGTTGCAGATCTGATTTGGTGCCCTTAGTGTGGTATAGAGAGACTTCAGACTTTGAAAGGGGAGAAAGCGAAAGATTCTCACGGCAGAGAAGATATGGAGAGGCACTGCCTGGCTTGCAGAGGGGTTAATGCAGCTGAGCCTTGGTTATTGTTGCTGTGCAGTACTCCAGCACTTGTAGCCTTGAAGAGGAGTCCTCAGGGTTATTTATATATCCAGAGCAAACAGGTTTCCTGTGGCATCGGGCTGAACTGGTCAGAGCACACAAAGGCTGTGAGCCAAGGGGTGCGGATCTCTCAAGGGTCTTCATTTGAACTCATTCAAAACCAAGAGCTGCCTGCTCAGGTTGGTGAAAAGAACCAGGAGGAGCTTTTTCACACTTTGCTATGCTCCCTAAGTGACAGCAGCACACCTCATGGGTCCTGGTGCTCACAAGGAGAACCATATTGCAGGGCTGGGAATGCCCTCCCCTGGCACCAGTGTTGCAGCATCACACTGCTGTAGCCCAGGTATTGCTGCTTTTTCTTGGAGTATCATTTAAGGCTTACTGAATATAAATCTGCATTTCTGACTTCACTGGTACCTTTCAGCCCCTCCATGTGCCCCTGTCACCACGACAGTTTAAGACCTCACCGAAGAAGCTTAGCTGTTGTATTTTCTATTATCTGTGAGAATCCTGAAATGCTGAGCAAAGGCTTCTGCAGAGGAGCTGGGTCACCCGATCTCCATACTTTGGAAGGTTTTGAAAGCATCTGTCCAGGATGACAAGGCTGTATGTGGGGGTCCCTCAGCACAAGGGGGCCACCATCTGCTTCAAGTCCTGCAAGAGCCCCTGGAGAGCAGCGCAACGCTGATGGCAGAGCGTCTGGTCAGACAGGGGGGATCATTGTGCAGGCTGGTGGGAGAGGCAGAAACACCCAAACCTTCCTGAGCCCTCTCAAGGTAGAGAAGCTGCAGAGTGGGATTTCTCTTGAGTGTGGTGATATAAACACATTGTAACTCCTTGAGAAATTAAGTGCACCCAGGTGAGGTGCTGCAAATTCCCCCTTCTTTCATTCTCTTCCAGAATAATCCCTCTTAAAAGCCCTTCGGGAAGGTGTGGTTTGGCTGGGCTCACAGGGGCTGGCAGCTGACCACTTGCCTCGGGGCTGTGCTCAGTGCTGCACGTCTGCAGTTCAGGACTGCCAGCCTGCAGCAGTAACGCAGCTGGGATCCTGCACTGGCAGCTCAGGGGGTGACATGGCTCTCCAGCTGGGGCTTTTATCCCTTTGCCTGTTGGTGGCATTAAAAGAAAGAACTGGAATGCCAAGCGGTTATCAAAACTCAGAAGCTTCTCATGTGCTTTGCAATAACCGATCCCAAGTCTTTTTGTGTTTCTGTAGTGCTGGCTTCCCTCCTGCCCTTGTGTTTTCCCAAGAAGCCGAGCAGTTCAGTAACCGCTTATCTCCTTGCTAACGTGTCAGCACCTCCAGCACCCTCAGAATGACAGATGCTCCTGTGCTTATGTAAAGTGAGTGGAAGTGGCTCAGTTTGGATAAATTCATCCCTGGCGGTGTGAATTCTCATCTGTGCAGTCACCTCTGTGGCAGCTGGGTAACTGC